AGGGGCCTCAGAGGTTACCTAGATCTGGCCCAGAGAAGGAAGAGATTTTTCGCATTGTCACTGAGGCTGGGGATGGCTGGGTGGGAACCCAGGGTTCTCGCAAGTGGTACCCAGAGTCACAGCAGGAAGGAGCACAGTGGTGAAGGGCACTGACCGTGGAATCAGACACTGGGTTCAGACCTTGTCCTGCCCTTCCCAGCCATGTGCCTCAGGCAAGCCACTTCACCTCCCTGAATTTCATTTTCATTAGCCAGTGAGTGCTGTCGGTCATCCACACGTCACAAGGCTGTCAGTGAGCTTATTAAAACTGGCTTACTGATCACTCACTCTGAGCCAGGCATGGGCTAGGCGCTGGAAGTCAGAGTGGTGTAAAGACAGATAGGTCCTTGTCCTTGTGGAGCTTAGTTTCTGCTGGGTAGAGGCCGACAATAGAAAGAGTTTCAAAGAGCTCTCAGGAAAATGGAGCAGGGGAATGGGGTAGGGCTGGACTGGGGAGGGCGGTGCCGGCATTAGGCATCGTGGTCTGGGAAAGCCTGTCTGAGGGGCAATATTTGCACCACAACCCAGGAGATGAGGAGCCACTCTGGAAGCTCTGGGCAAAGCAGCCTCCAGGAAGAGGAACAGCAGGTGCAAAGGCCCTGTGGCAGGAGCGTGCTTGGTGTGCTAGAGGGGAGGGGCAAGGAAGGGAGGTGGGGTTGGTCCACAGGGGCCAGGCTGTGTGCCTCCTTCGGGTCCCAGTGAAGAGTTTACATGTTCTTCTATGTGGGTTGGGGATCCCTAGGAGGTTTTTAGCAGGGAAGGGACACAATTAATTTATATAATCTTTCTTTTTTTTTTTTTTTTTTTTTTTTTTTTGAGACGGAGTCTCTCTCTGTCTCCCAGGCTGGAGTGCAGTGGCATGATCTCTGCTCACTGCAACCTCTGTCTCCTGGGTTCAAGTGATTCTCCTGTCTCAGCCTCCCAAGTAAGTGGGACTACAAGCATGTGCCACCATGCCCAGCTAATTTTTGTATTTTTTAGTAGAGACAGGGTGTCAGTGTGTTAGCTAGGCTGGTCTCAAACTCCTGACCTCAGGTGATCCACCTGCCTCGGCCTTCCTAAGTGGTAGGATTGCAGACATGAGCCACAGTGCTTGGCAAATTCATATTTTTAAAGGATTCCTTTGGCTGTGGTGTGGAGGAGAGGTGGGTGGGGAGAACGTGGCAAAGGGAGGGGGCTGTTGAGTTGTGCAGGCTGGAGGGGACAGTGGCCCAGCGGGGCGGTGAGGAAGTCCGATGAGCAGGGTGAGATAATGTCATCAACTCCTCCACCTGGTCTGGTGCAGGCCCCACAAATGGAGCTGTGCTTGAGCCCGGATGAAGTTTCTAGCTCTTGAGAGCAGCATCCTGGGCGCTTGGGTCATGGGCATGGGTGTGTGCTGCAGAGGACCTGGCCTGGGTGGTGTGTCTCTCTTCTCCTTCTCCTGTCTCTCTCTCTCTGTCTCATTTTCTCTCTCCCCAACCCCCCCTCTCTCTGAGAACTGCTGCTGCTATTACTCCCAAAAGACTTTACGTAATTCTGGCCCAGCTCCCTCCTCATGATGTCATGTGCTGAGTGGAGTCTAGGTCACTCCATCGCATGCTACGGTCGCGGAGAAAACAGACTCTGGCTCCCCTGGCGTGACGGCCAGGCATAGACCCTCCCCATGCTGGGGTGGGGGTGGCTAGGCTTCTGGTGTGTGGAGGTGCAACCCCTGCCCAGGGCCTTTGGACAGCTCAGGTAAAGTCCTGGGCTTCCTACAGTGGCCCTGGCTGGTGAGGGGTGGGGGTTGTGCTGGGAGGCCTGTCCCTCCGGAGCTGGGGGCCTCTCCCCTGGAGCCCAGACCCCAGCAGAAAGAGGCAGGCAGTCCTGAGGTCAGCCCCTGTTACTGCATTGCTGCTCCGAACCTGTTACCTACACTGTAAAATGGGGACAAAGACACCCAATCCTGATGGGTGGCTTCAGTGGGCTCTAAGGGGAGCATAGCAGGAGCGGTTCTGAGGACAGAGGTCCAGGCACGTGCTGGGAGGGGCTGAGAGGGAGTCTCCCCCTTGGGCCTATGTGGGGTTGTCTGGACCCCAACTCAGTGGCTTCATCTACTTCCTTCATCTCCCACCCCTGCCCCTCTGCTAGACCCCACTTCCTAATCCCAAGGAGAAGGAGAATAGGATCGAGCCATTCCCCCTTGCACAGGTAGGGAAACTGAGGCTCAGAGTAGGGTATGGCTTTCTCAAGGTCACTCAGCCTAGGATGGCAATGCCAGAAGGAAACTAGACCCAGTGAGCCCCCCCCGCCCAGGCATTTTCTGATGCCCTTCTCAGTGTGGGATGCCTGCAGCCCTGAAGGATGTTGGGAAGTTCAGGTCGTAGCACAAGACCGAGGGAGGGAAGCTCTGCTCCTCCACCCTTGCAGACACATCTCATTTCCTTCCACTGTATTTTTGTTTTTCTTTTCTTTTGGGAAAACAGTTTGGCTTTGCGGCTTGTAGGAAGCTTAAATAACAGTTACTGAGTTTCCCCTCCCTAACCTCTGAGAACAGAGTGCTAAGGTCTTCACAGCATCATTTTGTATAATCCTCACAATAGCTATCGAAGGTTATACCCCCATTTTACAGGAGAAGAAACTGAGGCCAAAGGTCATATGGTTGGGGCCAGGGATTCCTATCCAGATTTGTGTACTACAAAGCTCTCACCTTTGCCCCTCATCAGAAGCACCTGAAATTGTTCTGGCAGCCCCATAACTCCTCATCCTCCGTGGGGCTTGAGCTTTGCGAAGATATGGAGGAAGCAAGTTTCAGAGCTGCTGTGATGTTTGCCCCAGGGAGGGAGCTCACAGAGGAGATGACAGGGCGTTTGACTTAAGGGGAGCAGGGAGGATCAAGGGATTGCACCCCCACCTACCGCCATCTCAGCGTTGGTTAATATCCCCAACTCTGTGTTTTCTAGGGCTGGGGGGAGGTGGAGAGAAGAATGTGCCTCCCCTTGTTTCTAGAGTTACTAAATTCTTGTTAGATCTTTAAATTTTATGTAAATTCTTCTTTTTTTCCCTCTTGGAAAGGTGGGTATCATATTTTAATTAGTAGTGGTGTCAAAGGAGGGCTAGATTAATTATTGGAAATCTCAAGTTCCAGATGGTTTTAATTTTCACAGCAGGGCACCAGGGTCTATATTTGTAAATTTTTTTATTAAAATCATACCTAGTGCATTTTAAGGGCACTGAGGTATACTCTTTGTGGCTCCAAGGGTACTGTACTCAGGAATTTGGGGCTATGATTTTTGTTATGGAGAAGCAAGTCCCTTGTCACTGAAATTAAACTTTTGTGGGCGAGGGAGGGGCGGGGGCTACTAGGAAATAAGGGGTCAGGGAAAAGAGTGCACGAATTTCGAGGGGGGCAGTCACAGGCAAAGAAAGCAGCTGGTGTTGGGGAGTCAGGCACAGGGTGTTTAAGACCAGAGAGGAGAGAGAGCTCAGAGAGGGCATGTGGCCTACCCAAAGTCACACAGTAGCCTCCTACTGGGGAGAAAAATGTGGGCTGGCAGAGGGAGAGGAAAAGATGTGGACATAGCATGCCTAATCAAGGGACAGTTATACTCTTTCGCTGCTTGATGTCCTTGTTCAGGCAGGGCTTTGGGGGATCAGTTGCGGACCCCTCATCCTGAGGAAGGCTCTGTGGAGCATAGATGGTGTAGCATGGGGTCTCCCACCCTGGACCAGGGGAGATTGGGGCTTCAGTGGGATTTCTGGGCTCCTGGGAGTTAGTTACCCTTCAGCTTTGGTGGCCTCCATGGAGGGCAGTGGAATATCCTGCATACCTTTTCCCAGAGAGCTCACACCTCACTCTCTGTGCCCTTCCTGCAATAAGTAGCCAGGGTAAAGGTGCCAGGGGGCACTAGCAGGGGCTCCAGATGTTTGCTGTGCAGGAAGGGGCCACAGACCCAATTTTTGGAGAAAACAGCTTGACATTCTGAAAGGCAGGGGAGGTGTGCATGCATATGCCTGCATGTGGGTCTGTCTGTCCCCTTGGTCCCCTTAGCTGTTTCTCTGTGCTTTTTTTTTTTTTTTTTTTTTTTTTTTTTTTTTTTTTTTTTTTTTTTTTTTTTTTTTTGAGATAGAGTCTCACTGTGTTGCCCCAGCTGGGGTGCAGTGGCGCAATCTCAGCTCACTGCAACCTCTGCCTCCTGGGTTCAAGTGATTCTCCTGCCTCAGCCTCCGAGTAGCTAGGACTACAGGTGCACCACCACGCCCAGCTAATTTTTGTATTTTTAGTAGAGACAGGGTTTCACTGTGTTGGCCAGGCTGGTCTCGAACTCCTGACCTCAGGTGATCCTCCTGGCTCGGCCTCCCAAAGTGCTGGTGTTACAGGTGTGAGCCACTATGCCAGGCCCTCTGTGGTTATTTGTGTGGTATCTGGGGAATAGGATTATTTGTATGGCTGGCTGTCCTGATTTGGGGAATGGCATTATTTTTCTGACTGTCTGTCTTGCTTTGGGTTTGGGGGAGGGGATTATCTGGACGGCCATCTATCCCTTTGGGAGAATGGTCTTTTTGTATGGTTGTCTGTCCTGCTTTGGCAAATGGTTTTTTTGCATGGTTCTTTGTCCTGTTTGGGGGAGCTGAGGGGCTAGGGAAGATAGGTTATGATGGGGAGAAGGGCACACTGGTGTTTAGCCACAAGGGGCAGAACTCCCTTCTGGCTGGAGCCATCTGGATCCCAAGTGGAGCCAAGAGAGGCTGGAGGGAAGGGAACAGGTGATAGGTAGCTTCCATCTCCCTGCCTGAGGGGCAGGGCACTGCTATTTCTCTGATTTCTCTGTGGTTATTTGTATGGCATCTGTCCTGTGGGACTTGTTAGGCCTCCCCATGCCTGATTTTGGGGGAGTGAGGGACCAAAGATAGGACCAGGGACCATGTCACTCAGCCTTTAGACCAAGCCATTGCCCCTGGTAATAAAATGTGTCTTGTTTTCCTTCTGCCTTTCGAAGCCCAGCTCCTAGTGGAGACAGACACCTTCGGTAGTCAAGTCCGGATCAAGGGCAAGGAAACGGAATTCTACCTGTGCATGAACCGCAAAGGCAAGCTCGTGGGGAAGGTGAGTGATGGCCTGGGACTCCAAGAAACTTAGGGTTCCCCTCTGGCAGCTCTGGGAGCTGCAACAATGTGTCCAGAGCATTGTCAGCCCCAAATGGAAACTGTAATCTCCTCCTTTCACCCTGCCCCATCCCCACTCCTCTGCCCTGGCACTTGAGCTCACCAGGCCGAGGAATTCAAGGCTATAACTTATGGTGCACATAGGTCCCTGGTCTCTCCTGCTGGGTGTGGAGCTCTGGCTTTCTTGGACATGGGAGAAAACTTGAGGGGCTCTGGGGCACCCCAGCTATGTGTTCCTGAAGTCTGGGAACAAGGAGCTGGCAAGCCAAGGGCTGTGGCTGCAGTGATCATTTTAACAATTGCCAGGGGCTGACAGTGCCAACGGTCCTGTAGTAGTGGGCTCCGGAACCCGGCCGCCTCTTCAGTGCTGGGCTTCATGGTTCTAGCATTTCAGGAAGATTTTATTACTTTGAAACTGGCAAGAGAGCTGCATGTAACAAATTAGGGTGGGGGCAGGTAGGGGTGACCCTCAGGTGGGGGGGACTTCGGGAGGGGGAAACCCACATGCAGAGGGACCTGAGTCTCCAATGATGCTGCTCCTCAGCACCCCAGTTTGTTTGCTGGGTGCACCTGTTTGCAAAAGTCACGAACTGGCTTCCGTTGGTGTTTGAATGAAAGGTGTTATCCACAGGAGCTCTGTGGTGGGGTCAGGCCCTCTGTCCCTTCTCTCTGCAGGGACTGACTCACTCCCATATCCAGCTTGTATGACTAGGGTTGAGGGGGTTCTGCCTGGACAGGTGGAGGGGGGTGGAGGCTAGGCCCAGATTCCAAGGGGGAGGGGCTTCTGCTTGGGGGCAATGCCCTGGCTGATTATTTGTGGTTCATTACGTCTTGCAGGGGGTGAGGCCATGGTTTTGATTTTTTGAATCCCCCGTCTTATCCCTCTCCCCCTCGCCCCACACCCAAGAGGCTGGGAAGGGTGTAACAGGCCAGGGATCCTAGCCAGGGCATTGTCGCATTATTTTGTTAATAATTACGGTCACAATAGCCTCCGCTAATTGAGCACCGACTTTCTGCCTGGCACTGAACTGAAAATGAGTCCCAGGAGGCTGCCACGGCTTCCATCCCCATTCCACAGATGAGGAAGCCGAGGCTCGGCCACGCCCGGGCACTTGTCCCAGGTCCCACACTAGAGCTCCACGGGATTCAAAGCCGGGTTTGGAAGGAAAAGATTCCAGCCGCGCTGCCCACACCAACTAAGGCTTCTCAAAGAGCAACATAATAGTAATCCGCAGAGCGCGCCTCCGGGATGCCGAGGAGTGGTTTTAATTAGTGATTCACTTTCCGCCGTTACGAGGCCGGCCGGCCGGCGACGGGGGTCGGGGCCGGGACCGCGGACCGGGGCGCGGGCGCCGGGTCCCCCTGGCCTGGCGGGTCCCCCTGGCCTGGCCGACCGTTTCCTGTGGCGGCGCGGCCCAGCCCCGCGTCAGGCGCTTTGTTCTCCTGCCCGCCTGGGCCGCCTCCCAGGCCCAACCTGCTTTGAGTTTTCGGCTCGTTTTTCTCCTTCTCCCCCAGGAGGGGCCGGCGGCACCCGCTAGTGCCCGTGCCCACGCCGCGGCCCGCCCTCGCCGTCTGCGCGCACGGTTCCCGGCATCCTGACCCCAGGAGCGCCGCGTGGGGGTCAAAAGAGCAGCCCTGTCCCCTCGGGCCGCCCCCCCACCCCGCCGCCGGCCGCCTCCCGCCGCCTCCCGCCCTCGGGCTGGCCGCTGAGTCACCGCTTCCACAGGAGCCGGCTCCGATTTCCTGCCCCCTCGCCCTCTCTCCCGTCATTAATATTGGTGACGGTTCAGCTGGCGCGGCGCGCCCTGGCGCAGCGGAGGGAGGCCCGGCCCCGGCCCCCGGCGCCTCCCCCGCTCCCGCCCCGGCCTCCACGCCCGCCCCCAGCCCCTGCCAGCCTCCTGTCTTCTGCCCCTCTCCCTCGGGGGTGGGACTCAAGGGCGCCCCCAAATCCACCTGTCTAGGCTTGGCCTCCGCCTCGCCCAGCGCCCCTCGCTCTCTGGCCCCCGAGGCAGGAATCTGGCTCCTGGGCTGCCGCCCCCGCCACAGCCTCCCTGCCCAGCCGGGCCTCGGGTCCTGGGAGTCCCCTCTTTTTCTAACCCTGCCACTGCCTCTGTTCTGCCCCCTACCTTCCCAGAAGTCGTTGTCCCAGCTGCCTGGTGTGTGGCTTCTGCACCTCCAGGCCCTTCCCCACTGCCCACCTTCGGCTTCCTACGGCACTTATGGCATTGGAGGGCAGCACATGGCTTGCGCCCACCCCCACCCAACTCCAGACCCACCCATGGGTCTTCCCACCTTGCTATGGGACACTGAAGGCCCTGGGGAGCCTCCCCGGGCACATGCATTCCTTATGCCTCAGATGCATGGCACTGGGCACCACTGTTCCCTGGATGGGGCCTTTGGGCACTGCCCATGCTGTGCCCTCTGCTGGAACTGCCCTTTCTTCTGTCCACCTGAGTCCTGGCTCATTATTCCCGGACGCCTCCGTCAGCCCACCCACCCTGGAGCCCCAAAGCCCCTTGAACAGCCCTCTGTTACCTGTCTGCTGACCTGGGTGGTCGCAGTCTGTCTTTGTGCCTGCATCCCTTGTCACACTGGGAGCTCCCTGAGGGCGGATTCTGCATCCATTCATTTGAGTTCTGCATACCTGGCCAAAGGGCTGCTGGGGCACCAAAGAGAGAAACATGGTTCCTGCTGTCTGTGGATTGACTCTTAAGCCACAGCCTGAATTGTCCAAATCAAGCCAAGGGAGTCAAAGCGCCCTGGCCTTGCCAAGCCTCCGCGTCCTCATCTGTAAAATGGGAATGATAATCTGAGCACTTAGTAGACAAGTAGGCACTTGCTAACTGTTAGTCCCTTCCCCCTTTGAAGCCGGGTTACAAGTCACTTCTTCACCTGTGGTAGTGCCTCTTCTCAGCTCCAGTGCCGAGTCCTTTGGAGTGGCTCAATGGGACAGCTTTGGGCCGTCTGTGTGCCAAGCCTGCACATCCCTGGCCACAGCAAGGGCACCCACATTGAGCCCTCAACAGAGCTTTCCAGAGGCTGCAGGACCTTGCTGGAGTTACTCTTTCTGCCGAATTGTACCAATCAGCTGCCAAAGCTCTGTCCCCAGCTCCTGCATGCTCAGGTGGCCCCTCTTCTTGCTACCCCTCTGGAACCTATGTCACCAGGTCCAGGAGGTGGCGCTTCCTTTCATTTTGTAAACAGTTGTTGAGTATCTAGCATGATGTGCTAGGCACAGCCCAGGTTGTAGTTTTCTCATCTGCCCCCACCTGTTTCAATCACTGAGCCCTTTTTGGGGCAACAGAGTCACAGACCTTTTCAGGGCAGGGGAGCGCTCTGCCCACCAGCACATCTTTGTTAAGATGGCTTTGGTTGCAAGTGGCTGAAATTCAACCTAAAATGCCTTAAGCAAAAAAGAGAATGTAGGGCTTATATAGAAACAAACAAACAAACTAAAAAAAACACAGTCCAGGGGGTGGCTCTAGTTTCGGGTAAGACGGAATCTAGAGGGCAGATGATGTTATCAGGATTCCATCTTCAGATCAAATAGAAGGACTAGGGCTCCAGTTCAGGAAGCAAGAGGTTGGAGGTGGTATCAGGGGAGAGATCAAATTCTGCTAAATCATCAGGGTTCTGGGATGGGATATTCACTTACTCTTTATATACTGATGCTTCTGCCTTGCCTGAACCAATTGAGTCAGAGTTTCTGGGGGTGGGACCCAAGCACAGGTGTTTCTGGGATCTCTCTGTGTGGTGAGCAGGGTCATAGCGGTAGCCAGGGGCAGAGGCATGTGTCAAGCCCAAGTGTAGCCTGCTGTTAGCTTCTTACCCATTTTTGCCTGAGGTCATGGAGGGGAACTTGTGATCATCATAGCCCCAGGGCTGGTTCCCAAGATCCGTGAATTTCAGCCGAGCCCAGCTCTTCCACCCTCTTAAGTAAGAATGCCCAGCTCTTCCACCCTCTTAAGTAAGAATGCTCAGCTCTTCCACCCTCTTAAGTAAACCCAGACGTGTATTGAGCCTGCATGCCTGGCACTGGGTAGCTCCTTGTACATCCAAAACCTTGCTTTGTGCCAATGGTGGCTATGTGGGCCTGGGGGAGATGAGACGTTTTGACGGGCAGCACCTGCTCCTTCTCACCCTTTCCCCTTTCGGACCTCTCTGGAACTGGGCAGAGGAGAAGTGAGCTGCAGTGCTTGGTTGAGACCAGGCTAGGGCACGTTCAAATCCCAGCTCTGCCACTTACAAACTCCATGACCTTGGACAAGCCTGTTTGCTTCTGAGCTCTGCTTTCTTCTACCAAGTAGAGTCAAAGAAGAGGATGAAATGAAATGGAAGTAGCAATGTCTGGCCTATAGTTGGCATTCAATAAATGGTTAATGAATAAGTAGGGAGACCAAGTGGGCTAGGCGATTTCTAGGGCTCAGCTTGCTCTGTCTCCCTAATCAGTGTATCCCAGGAGGGACTTCTCATAGCTTAGGACTCTCTCTGGGACATTTATAACAGATCCAGGAGGGAGAGTCTGTGTTCTTCAGGAGGAAACCCCTTTCATGTGTCATCCCACCATTTCCATCCTAATGAAAATGTGTTCTACCCCAAGTTCTCGGGGCACCCCAGTCTTGAGCTAAGGCCTGTGCTCAGCAATAAGAGAACTGAGAAGCAGCCCGACCTCATCAGGCACTTGGGCTAATGCGGAAGTGGGCGGATGTGGAATTTCTCTGTTGGGTTGTGGGGAGGAGGAATGGGGTTCAGAAGATGGAGTATGTGAGCCCAGTAAGGCTTGACGCTCTTGAAGGAGGAAGAGGAATTGCCCAAGGAGATAAAGCGTAGTCCTGGAAGGCTTCCCAGAGGAGGCAGTTGTTGAGCTGAGCCTGGAGGGCTGAAAGCCATTTTCCAGGCAGTGGCAGGCATTCTAGGATCGGGGAGCATCATGGTGTAGTCTTTGTTCTGTTTGCTCCAACTCTTTGGTTGAGACCAGGCAAAGAACCTGGATTCAGGTTGGACAGACAGCTCCAGAATTTTCCATGGGGTACCCAGAGCCCAGGGACCACTCCCCTCCACCTGCCTTGCACACTTGCCCTGGCTTTCCTCACAGGAGACCCTCACTGCTCACGCCACCCGTACTGTCCTCTGGGTCCCATGTATGTGTCCCCGGTCTGCCCCTGCCTGTTCTGCAGCCTCCTCGAAAGATCTCATCCTCCAGAGAGTGTTTTCTTACCCTGCCTGTCCCTTTCTGCAAAGTTCAGCCCTTGGTCTGCAGGGCCCAAGCTTGCCCTCTGCTCAAAGGTGAGTCTTCCTGGAAGCCTCAGCCTGTTTTCCACTTCAAACAAAAGGCTGGAACTCACACCTCAGTCTCCACACACAGCCAGACCGCTGGGCTTCCAGCTTGGCTGGGCATCCGTCCGTAACGAGGAGTGGGCCCAGCCTAAATTTGGAGATGTTAGTTGGAAACTCGAGTGCTGCTAATTCAGGCCTTCCAACTTTGTGTGTTTCCCACTCTTCCCCATCGAGCAATTCGGCTGTCTCAGAGAGGAGACTGAAGCCCTGCCTCCCCACCACCCTGTGTCCAGATCAGATCCAAGGGAGGCACGCCAGCCCTGTCGGGAACAGCTGCCCTTCAGGAGTAATCTAGCAGGCTCCTACTGAGTGTCAGATTCATTTATAAGCATCACTCCCACAATGTCTCTATGATGCAGAAGTTGTTCCCATTGGGTAGATGAGGAATTTGAGGTTTACAGAGTGGGACTGACTGGCCTGAGGTTATACAAGGAACTGTTAGAGGTCATTCAGTTTCTGACTCCAAATCTAGTGCTCTTTGCCCAGCATACCCAGACTCCCAAGAGAGTTCACACATCGGCCCAGGAGCCTGAGATCCTACAACTGACGGCACAGTTGGGAGTTCAGCCATGGGAAATCTCTTATTTTTAGTGGCCCCCACCTTACTTCATACTAAGTATGAAAATGCACCACATCCCACGTTACATGTAATTTATATTTAACTAGATCGAAGTGGAGTTGAGTTACAGCTGAGTAGCTGATTTAATGTCAGGTTTTGTGCAAACCCATCAGGACTCATTTCTGTTGTAAGTGATAGAATGCAGGATCACCTGGTTTAAAGGAAATGAGCCATTATTGGCCCACATAACCATGAAGTAACTTGAGCTTCAGATGTGACCGGATCTAGAGCCCAAATAATGTGGCCAGGATATAGTTTCTCTCCTTCTCTCCCCCTTGGCTTTGCTTCATCTGTGCTGGCTTCACTGTCAGACAGGATCTCCCCTCATGGTGATAAAGTGGCTGCCTCTGCTTCAGCCTTACAAACTCATCCAGTTTAAATCCACCTATGTTTGGGGTTGCCTAGAAGATGTCTCAAGGAACACTCTGATTGGATGGCTTGGGTCACATGCTCACCTATGAGCCAGTCACTGAAGCCAAAGGGAAAACAGTGTCTGGATGTCGTGCTCTGGTAGGGATGAGGTGGGGCTCCTGGGCTATGAGGGTGGAGAGTGGGGAAGGAATAGATTTCTGAATGGCAGTGGGAGTCTGTTACCTAATTGGAGGGTGGGGAAAGATGCAGGGGCCAGTAACAAAAGTTTACTCTACAGCTCCAGGAAGTGAAGGCTCTCTCTCTTGTGCTGCCCCATGCCCCTTGTACCTGCTGTCCTCTTTCTCTCCTCCTCCTGACCAAGACTCTTTGCTTGGCCAAACTAGCGTCAGCCTCCTGATCCTTCTCTTACGCCTATCTGTGCACTTCTTTGTAAAATCCAGTTTTAGCAAGAGCCTCGCAAAGACAGTTTAGCAAGAACCCCCCACTCTCGATATCTGATCGGGGTCCTCATCCTTCTCCATCCCCCAGGTGATGTCTGATCTCCCTGGCCTGTCCTCAGCAAAAATCCTGTTAGGTGGCTTTAGCCAGAATCCCCCATACCCTCAATGTTTCGTCTTAGTCATTTTCCATCCTGTTCCTTGGCTGTAAACCAAGGAGCACCCCTACCTGCCCATGCCGTATTCAGAGTTGGGCCCAGTCTTTCTCCCCCACTGCAAAACCCTGCAACGTTGTCCCTACAACGATCGAGGTGGTCCTGAATGAACCTTCCTTACTGTGCTTTAGCAAGCATCACTGAGTCATATTTTTCTTGAACACTCCCCCTCTCTCCCCTGCAGCCCGATGGCTCCAGCAAAGAGTGTGTGTTCATCGAGAAGGTTCTGGAAAACAACTACACAGCCCTGATGTCGGCTAAGTACTGTGGCTGGTACGTGGGCTTCACCAAGAAGGGGCGGCCAAGGAAGGGCCCCAAGACCCGGGAGAATCAGCAGGACGTGCACTTCATGAAGCGCTACCCCAAGGGGCAGCCGGAGCTTCAGAAGCCCTTCAAGTACACGACGGTGACCAAGAGGTCCCGTCGGATCCGGCCCACACACCCCGCCTAGGCCATCCCGCAGCGGCCCCTCAGGTCGCCCTGGCCACACTCACACTCCCAGAGAACTGCATCAGAGGAATATTTTTACATGAAAAATAAGGAAGAAGCTCTATTTTTGTATATTGTGTTTAAAAGAAGACAAAAACTGAACCAAAACTCTTGGGGGGAGGGGTGATAAGGATTTTATTGTTGGCTTGAAACCCCCGATGACAAAAGACTCATGCAACGGGACTGTAGTCAACCCACAGGTGCTTGTCTCTCTATAGGAACAGACAACTCTAAACTCGTCCCCAGAGGAGGACTTGAATGAGGAAACCAACACTTCGAGAAACCAAAGTCTTTTCCCAAAGGTTCTGAAAGGAAAAAGAAGAAAAAGAAAAAGAGAAAGTAGTACTCTGCCCACCAACAAACTCCCCCTGACTTTCCCAATCCTCTATCCCTGCCCCAAACTCCAACAAAAATCGCTCTCTGGTTTGCAGTCATTTATTTATTGTCCACTGCAAGCTGCCCCGAGACACCGCGCAGGGAAGGCGTGCCCCTGGGAATTCTCCGCGCCTCGACCTCCTGACGACAGACGCCTCGTCCAATCATGGTGACCCTGCCTTGCTCGCAGTTCTGGAGGATGCTGCTATCAACCTTCCGTGACTCACGTGACCTAGTACACCAATGATAAGGGAATATTTTAAAACCAGCTATATTATATATATTATATATATATATATAAGCTATTTATTTCACCTCTCTGTATATTGCAGTTTCATGAACCAAGTATTACTGCCTCAACAATTAAAAACAACAGACAAATTATTTAAAAAACCATGAGGCGAGTGGTGGCTGGTAGTAGCGGGGGGGCAGTGTGGCCTCTGTGTCTCCTGCTTTCTGTTTGGTCCGTGGTCTTTGCACTGAGAGCTGGGGCCTTGCACATTCATTCATTCATTCATTGAAAGATTCATTCGACATTCACTATGCACTATGCACCAGGCACTGAGAAGGCAGCCTTAGAACAGATGGAAATCCCTGCTTGCAGGGAGATTCTATTCTAATGGGTCATTGATTCAGTGACCGCTTCCGTCATTTGTTCATATGCGTTGACTCATACGTCTCCTGTGCCAAGGCTTGATTCTAGGCCCTGGGGATTTATCAAAGAACATGGAAAAAATCCCGGCCCTCAGGGAATTTCACTTCTAGGAAGTCATTGATTCATTTCTTTATTCATTGATTTATTGATGGATTCATCCATTCAATATATATTTCTTAGGCACTTCCTAAGTGCCAGGCAGTCTTCTGAGTACTAGAAATTAATAAGAATAAAGCCGACAAGAAAGCATGCCTCTCGGAGCTTGCAGTCTAGGGATTAATTGATTCACTTGTGTCATCTACATCAGTGCTTTGCCAGGCACAGGCTGAACACGGAAATATGGTGGGAGCATTGAGGTCAGCTGGGGACCTGGTGTTTCTCTCCGCAAACTCTCATGGGCTGGAGCTTGAGGAATCTGGTGATGTTACCTTCCAAGAACCCACCTTCAAGGCCTATTTCCCAGGGCCTGGCCCAGGATGTCAGGGAGAGGCCAGGTTCGTCTCGGGGTGGAGGCAGATTGAAGGTTGGTGAGTCCTCTGTCCTGAGGCTTGGGCTGTGTGAGCGTCAGGCTTGGGGTGGGGGGCTGTTTCTGTTTTTCTCCCTCCCCATGGTCTCCAACCTTAGTGTTGGAACAAACCGTATATTCCTGGTGGGGCAGGAGGTGGTCTGAGGCGGAAGTCACCTCTGCTGCGGGGGTCCTGTGGCTGTCACCTGCCTCCCTTGAAAACTCCCCCTCCAGGGCTGGTCAGAAGAAGTCCCCATGAGACCCTAAGGAGTGGTGGGGCAGAGGCAGTGGGGAGGGGCAGGAGTGCCTTCTCTGCAGGCTCCTGGCTGGGGTGAGTGTTTCCACTTCTTCTGAGCACAGCTCTTGGTCTTGACCTTGCTGTCTGCGTTATGAACCCTTATCCCTTCACCCCTGGGCCCTGTCCCGAATGTCTTTGGCTCACCCTTCTGCCTATCACAGCACATTTCCGTAGAGTTTTGTGAAGCTCTTTAGCTGTACAATCTCATGGTGTTCTCAGGATACCATTATTATCCCCATTTTATAGATGAGGAGACTGAGGCTCATAACATTATGCCACTTCTCGAAGATCACACAATAAGAAAGCCATCGGGCCCGTGTCCAAATCTTAGCCTCTCCAGGATGGCGATAGCTGCCACTTGGAGAGTGCCTGTCATCGTCGGAACCTCTGCTGGGGGCTTCAGTAGGTGCGCTGCCTGGGTATCCATCAGACAACTCCCCTTCGTGGGAGGTGGGCACCCCTGCTTCCACACTGGACAGTAAACAGAGACTCCAAGAGAGCATCAGTTTGCCCCAGGCCTCACATTGAGCAGATGACAGCCTGAGACTCTGGCTGATAATCACAGCGATTCAGGTTGTCATCGATGGGGAACCTGTTATATGTCAGCTGCGTTCACTCTTCCTGTATTATTTTATTTAATGAAAACAATAACCCTTAGAGATAGGTGTTTGCTAGAGAATTGTGGAGCCAGAATGCAATCAACCATCTGTTCATTCATCCAAAAAATATTTATTGACTTTACTCTGTACCTGACACTCTCCCAGGGGCTGAAGATATAGCAGTGAACTGCACGGAGCCCTGGCCCTCATGGGGCTTCCATACTATTAGGGAAGATCAATAATAAAACAGATGCAGGCCGGGCGCGGTGGCTCACGCCTGTAATCCCAGCACTTTGGGAGGCCGAGGCGGGTGGATCACGAGGTCAAGAGATCAAGACCATCCTGGTCAACATGGTGAAACCCCGTCTCTACTAAAACTACAAAAAATTAGCTGGGCATGGTGGCGCGTTCCTGTAGTCCCAGCTACTCAGGAGGCTGAGGCAGGAGAATTGCCTGAACCCAGGAGACGGAGGTTGCGGTGAGCCGAGATCGTGCCATTGCACTCCAGCCTGGGTAACATGAGTGAAACTCCGTCTCAAAAAAAATAAAATAAAATAAAATAAATAAATAAATAAATAAATAAATAAATAAAACAGATGCAAAATATAACGCCAAGGAGTGACAAATCATAAGAAAAAAATAAAACGTGGTGAGGGGATAGAGGATGCTATTTTAGATGAGGTGGTCTGGGGGGGCTTCTGCAGGGGGGGATTTTGAACAGGAAGGAAGCGAGGGAAGAGTGTTCCACAGAGAGCGCCACAGCCTGGTTGTCGCGGGATGAAGGGGGGCCAGGGGGGCTGGAGCAGAGTGGGTGGGGTTGGGGGGAGAATTGGAGGAGGCAGACCACCACCTGAGCTTTCACTTGGAGTGAGATGGGGAGCCACACGTGATGTGCCTCCCATCTAAAGGGATTGCTCTGGCTACTGTGTGGAGGAGGACCGGTGGCATCCAGCCGGGCTGCCCAGTGCCAAAGCCTGGGCACTCACTCTGATCTGATGCTGCTCCTGCCACTGGCTTTGATACACCTCTGTCCGCAACACAACTCAGGCCCCTGTCCTCCTGCACCCAAGACCTCGCCTTTGCTTCATCCCTGGGGGCAGTGGGACCAGCGTTGTTTCCTTGTCTTGCCTCTTAGTGTCCCTGACGTTGGCAGATGTGGGCCCAGCTTTTGTTTAGACAGAACTTTCTGGACATTTCCTGAGCTATGAGAAATATGTTGATGATAAGCACAGTGGGCGGGCGGGCACGTTTCCCAGCCACGGACGCTGTTGCCTTAGGAACGCTTGCTTGAGGTAGGAGGCTAGCGAGGGTTGCCATAGTCTGGCTGGGTAGGAACCCCAGGGATAAATATCTATGACTTTCAGAACACTGGGCCCACCCCACCAGCTTTTGAGGTGGGCATTTTTAACCACACTTTATAGAGCAGGCTCAGAGAGTCACGTCGTTGAAGTCACACAGGCAATAAATAGAGGAGCTGGGGTTTGAACCCAGGCCTGTCTGTCTCTAGAGCTGTAACTTGACCCGAGTCCAGACTCCCGGAGCTCGCGGCATCTGTCCAGGGTTCCAGTCTTTCTCCCTTGGTGTCCATCATTTCCCAACCCACCAGAGGGCGGAGGCAGGCATAGACCACGTTTCCAGGTGCTGATGGCGGCCCTTCTCCACTCTCCACAGCCTCCCCAGGACGTTGCTGTCATAGAGACCACAGAGACATGAGTCCTGGAGCGCTTCAGTTTGCTTTTGACGTGGCCACTTTCCAGCTGCGTGACCTTGGGCAAGCCACGTCTTTTCTGTGAGTGGCGTCTGTCTTCATCCCAGTTGATTCTACCTTGTGGGGCTAATGTAATGCTCCAGAGAGAGCAGGGCAAACACCTGGGGATGATTCCGATTCCTGCCCCAGAAGAGGGGACCCGGGCAGGGGGCTTCATCCTCTCAGGCTTCTCTCTCCAACTCATTGTTTTAGAGAGGAGGGAGCCGAGACCAGAGAGGAAGCGACTTCCTCCAGGTCCCCCAGCGAGTTAATGACAGAGCCCATTAGATGATCAGTTCATAGGAATGATAGTGGGTGAGGTGAGTCAGGGGCCCCTTCAGTGGCCAGCCAGGCCCTTCTTCTCATCCTTCCCAAATTTGCAGCAGAGGGCAGTGGGAAGGGGGTCCTCACCACCCCGTCCCCCAGCCCTATCATGGTGCGGGAGGTGAGTGAAAGTTGACCCTTGCCCTAGCATTTCAAGAGACAGGCAGGCAAGAATGGTAGGAAGGGCCCCCTGAATCTGGGACAGAAGTGGATTTGGAGACAAGGGTGTTCTCCCCACCTCCCCCGCCCTGTGCGTTGTTTGGATCCAGAGTCTTCTCCACCTGTGGCCACCCCTTGCCCTCCTGCTCTATACACACCTTGATGTCCACACATCCAGCTTCTAGCGCATGGTTCCTAGGGCAGAGTAAGCTCTTGCTCTCTCTTTTTTTTTCTTTTGAGATGAAGTCTCACTTTGTCACCAGGCTGGAGTGCAGTGGCGCGATCTCGGCTGCAACCTCCACCTCCAGGGTTCAGGTGGTTCTCCTGCCTCAGCCTCCTGAGTAGCTGGAACTACAGGCACGTGCCACCACGCCCAGCTAATTTTTGTATTTTTAGTAGAGACAGTGTTTCACCATGTTGGCCAGGATGGTCTCTATCTCTTGACCTCGTGATCCACCCTCCTCAGCCTCCCAAAGTGCCGGGATTACAGGCGTGAGCCACCGCGCTTGGCCAACTCTTGCTCTCTTAGCTGTTACTCTGATCACATTTGATTGGCACAAGAACCTGGCAAGATAGATGTTAGGATGTATATTTTGTAGATGAGAAAACTGAGACCTGTAGAAGAATGTCATTGACCCAGATTCTATGGTAGAAAGTAACCAAGCTGAGATTTGAACCCAGGCCTCCCTGTTCCCACTTTTCCCTTTCCCAGCATTCCTCCCCATCTCTGCCTTTGCTGGGAGTGGAGTGCGGAATAAAGTTCCAAAGCTGAGGGCCAGAGAAGCAAGTGGCCCTACCAGGGTGGGTGGGGAGGGCCTTCCCCAGGGAGAGGCTGTGTTTTGGGAGTGTGTCACCAGTGCCAGCCAGGTGAGCCGCAGGTGTGGGGAGGCACAGCGCCAGGCTGCCTGCAGGACGTTGAGGGGATGCCCTTCTGCCTGCCTGCCCAGCTGGAGCCTAACAAGGCCAGGCTGGGATGGCCTGGGGCTTGAAAGCCCCATAAATGGGGCAGAACCTTCCCTCCCCAGCAGCAGGATTGGGGCTTCCAAAGAACAATAGTGAATTAGGTGCTAAAGATGTGAAGGCTGCTCCCCAACCATGCAATTAGCTTG